CACAGCCACAGGCTGTGGCTGACCCACTTCTTGATAAATCGCATAGCAAAAATGACACTGAGGCAGCTAATGCCATCTACTGACTAAAATAACACTACCAACAGGATAGTCAACCTCAAAAAAAGCTTGCAGGGCTGGTAGCATTAAAAATAATCAGAACATTATGTACACCTCTTTGATTAAATATAAGCTGAGCTTGGGAAGTTAAACCAGATGCTTCAGGAATCAGGATTCATTTGTCCTAAGCTTGTTCTGCAGCAAGAAAGCTAAAATAATCTGTTGTTAGAAAAACCTTTCAGTAACCTGATTCTCAAAATTGCTGAATACCTTCTCTTACATTGTCTTCAGTGAGATTTGTGTCTTCTCAGAACATCTGAAAATCCATGCTGACACTGGTTTGCTAAAGATACTTTATATGCTGGAACTAATTTAAAACAGAAAAAAACATATGCCTTTTCTCATCCCCATTCATCATTGCAATGAGTTATACCCCAGTGTGTCATAAAGCTGATTGTTTTCACTTCAGAGGTGAGACTGGGCTTTTTATTTTTGATACCTCAATATGAAGACCTAATCAGTCTTAGCTATGACTCTGCTTTATGATATCTGCAAATAATCGCTTCATTTAAAGTATCTTTTCCTATGTTTATATTAACAAATATATTGCTTCTGTGCAATGTGCAGAGAAATTTGCTTTTGGAATAAAACACACATTTCCTGCTAAAAATCATTCACTGAGCAAGGTGGATTACATAGAAGATATCAGCATCCTCCAGGTTAATAACAGGGAACATTCTCTCTAATAATGAATAATCACCTCTACACAGTAAAGCAAATCAGTGTGCTCAGCTCTTTTCTTAGACAATTAAATTATAAATCAAAGTCTCATTAAAGCAGATGAGGTACTTCAGTATGTTTTTAAGTGGGGTGGTGTCACTTTAACTGGTGTCACTTTTCTGCATGCTGAAATATTAACACTTCTGAGGTAAAATCCTATTGGTTTTGTGGAGCTTGGTAACTTCACAGAAAGAGGTGCTGCTTCTAGTCAAGGTGAATCTGCACTAAATGCCTTTCACCCAACAAAATACTGGCGGGATCACTCTTTAGTTAGCTTACTCTGGCCTTTTTTGTACACCGGTTATCCAAAGCTGACTGGGACAACAACATTGCAGCACCTTTGTACGTTCCCTCCTGTTCCACAATGGACCTGCATCCTTCATTCACGGCCTCCGGACCGCTGCCACTCTGTAGCTTTAATACAGAGGCAGTTTAAAATGTTATGGAACTTTCCAAAATTTATCCACTTTTCCACTTCTTCAGGTGAAAAGGACCTTTGGTCATTTTGAGGAAACAAGGTTTTTAGCTAAAAAGGAACATGATGAAGGAGGTGTCATAATTTAATGGGGCATGGACTAGTATACAAGACACAATGTTTATAGTTGATACTGTTCAGGTAATCTTCTATAAATACTACAGTTCAAAGAATAAATGCAATTAATGGAATTCATTCATCATTTCCACTTTCACATAATGTTGCCTTTCTGTGCCAAAATAATTTTCATTCCATTATATTAAATCCGTATGACATTCTACCAAATACTCTTCATTCTTGACTTTAAGTAGTGTTTGCCAAGCTACCTACTACATTAGATCAGAATAACTTTTAGTTTGACAAAAATACTTCTATGGCCTAATTAATTACTCTTTTTAATTTATTCTACCTAACATATATCATAAATAATCCAAGTTTGAGGTGATTATATAATCTTTAACATTTTTAAAGGTATCTTCCACTACTTCCATGTGATGTTTTCCCATAAGTCTGTTTTATAGTAGATGTTTAAAGACTCATAGAATCTCTTTACAATTCTCAATTTTATTACAGATTTTTAATTCTGTTTGGTTTTATTTACACAGTCACTGTAGATGAGACCAAGTCAAAATAGTAGACTTAGACTAGATATCAGGAAGAAATTCTTTATTGTGAAGGTGTTGAGACACTGGAACAGATTGGCCAGAGAAGCTGTGGGTGCCCTGTCCCTAGAAGTGCTCAAGGCCAGGCTGGAAGGGGCTTTAAGCAACCTGGTCTGGTGGAAGGTGTCCCTGCCCATGGCAGGTTGGAACTAGATGATCTTTAAGGTCCCATCCAAACCAAACCATTCTATAATTCTATGAAAAGTTATGTAAATTTTCATTAAAACATTCTGTAGTCATTGTTAAGATGTTTTTCACCCCTCAAGATTTGACTGCTAATTACTTTTAAAGTATAAAATACATGTTGTGGACAGTACATCTCAGCAGTAAGCATATTGAATAGCAGAGATAGCTTTCAATCTGCCTCCATATAAGGGAAATGTGTTTGTTTTCAAAATGTCATGGATTCTACTGCTTCACAGGTGTTTACAAAACAGCAAGTGAAGATATTCTTGCATTGGGTTTCACTTTGCATGAGCAGTCAACTTCTGTTGAACTTGGATTAAGATCTTATTCTTTCTGAATAAGTAAGGTTTACCTAGGAGTAGTGAAGACAATTAAAATGCTATTGCAATTTGCCTAGAATATCCTATTAAAATGATAAATTAATTTTTTTCTGTATAATTTTTAAATTGTTCAAATGGTCATGTCATTCTCTATTGTGTGATATCTATGGTGGTTCTGAAACTCTGTATTTTTAGTCTTTAGGAGGGAATTTCTTGTTTTCAGTTATATTCCAAGGACTCAACGAGCAATTTCTGTAGAATTTATTGCTTATTTCATTCCTTTCATGTTTGATTGGACCTTTTCTTTTAGAGATTGAGGATGCATTTATTTGGAAGCTTGACAAAGAAATATATCTATCTACATATAAATCATAATTATATATATTTTTACCAAGATACCATACTATCTATGGGAGTTTCCTAAGCAGAAAGCATTTTTTGAGACAAATGTACAATGTTTTTCTTGCTTTTGTGTAAATTTAAAATGTTGTCTAGTGTTTACTATGGTTAACATGAAGTCTTTGGTTTCTGGCACTGATAAGATTTGTTCCACATTGGTTTAGTAGTTAAAAACAGTAGTATTGGGATAGGGGGAAGTTTTTTTGTTGAACTGGTGATATGGTTGGTTTTGTTTTATAAAGTCATTTAGGTTCTCTAGTCAAGTTATTTATATTCCAAACATTTTATGGTACTCACAGAGGACATATAGGAGAAAATATTGGCAGCAATATATGCAATAGACAACTCACTGTTGTTTGCTGTATCTAGGAATTTTTAAACAGCTCCATTGCAAATTGTGCAGCATGTACTGGTACTCACAGAGGACATATAGGAGAAAATATTGGCAGCAATATATGCAATAGACAACTCACTGTTGTTTGCTGTATCTAGGAATTTTTAAACAGCTCCATTGCAAATTGTGCAATACCCAAAGCCTGGGTATTTTATTAGCTGTTATAAACTGGGGTACTGGTTTCAGAAAAAAACAGCTTAACATTATGTGATAATGGCTGACTATGAAGGATGGAGATTATGCAAAGAGCATGCATAAAGAAGCTGTATTTATAAATAGAATATGAAAGCCCATTTTAAATTGCTTCATAAAATTTGATGGCTTTAAATGAACCTTTGTGCCAAACAAGCCAGTCTTCTTGTTTTCTGGAGGCATGGATTAGAGCAGGATTACTCAGCGGGCAGGAATCACAGACCAGAAGTAGGTCACAAGGATCATACCAGCTAATGGGCAGAATCCGGCAAAAATCCCCCAATCTCTGTGACAGAGCAGAAGCTTTGAACGGAGGTGAAAAAGCTGCCCATCCCTCATAGATATCCTACTCTCACTGCTTCTCCTGCTTTTCCTGCTGCAAACCAGCACCTGTGTGGTGCTTCCTGATCCAACCTGCTTGCATGTGGGGCCTGTTTCTGCCACGTTTCATCCATGCTGAGATGATTACCAAAAACTGCCTCCTGTAGCCACTCCACATTACCATGCAAACTGGGGAGAAACTGAGAGGATGGGTTTTGTGTAGAGCCATGGCAGATCATGGTGTGAACCCAGGAGACCACTGTGGGCTTCAGCGCCTTACTCTCAGTGTCACCACATGGAGTTACTGAATTCTGCGTTCTCGATGGCTGCCCACTGCAATTTCTTTAGTAATCTGTACAAAGAAACAAAAGAGTCTTATCTTTGTTTGTCTTTCTAATTAATGTTCCTCCCTAAGAACCAGGTGTTAGTGCTAGAACTGGAATTCCTTGAAGTCAGTCTACTGCTGGGGTGCCCGTGACCACCTCATTCCTAAGTCTGTATAGATGCATGCAAAAAAAAAGGAGTCAGAGGGAGAAAAGGCACCTTCCGCAGGCTTGTGGAAGACTGTTCATCCTGCCTAATAGTCTGTATGTCAATGGAAATGGAGAGCTGCTCCATATTGGGAAGGTTCAAAGATTCCATGGAGGAATCCATTGTTGTCCTTTGAATGCCTCACATAGACACCTTGTACATGGCATTAGACAACAAGGGGCATGCCTTCTCCTCGCCTCTCTCTCCACCCTGGCCCTGTTTCTTTTCCACAAGGAAATCTGCCTCCCGGGACCCTGGGGGAAAGGTCCTCGCTGACAGGCCACGCTGCATTGTATGCAGTGACTTGTATGAAGAAAAGTTCATACCTTTGTAAGAAGATGGCAAAAAGTAAAAATAAATTATGATTTCTCTTTCTCCTTCTTCCACCACTTAAATATGTAAGCCAGCATATTAAACAGTATTGTGCAACAGGAGGGATCAAAACAAGACTTCATACTTGTTAAATTGGAGATTGGTAGTATGTGTTCTAATTAAAATGTGTAGACCACATGAGAGAGCCTCAGCATTGGGTAATTTTTATTTATTCGTTCCTTGCACTTTTTACTTTCCTTCTTATGACCTTTCTTAGGACGTGTGACTCATTCTTTTCTAGCATTGTTTTCCCCTCTTCCGGATTTCACCTTTTCTCTTAGAATCTGTTCTCTCACTTTGTTCTTCTCCTTTTGTTTTTCTTTTCTCTCTCCTGAATTGCACTCAACAATCTCTCGTGTCTGTCTGTCACCTTCTTCCATGAGTATTTTACTACCTCTAGGACTTTCTAAGTGCTTTATCCTTCAGTTTTGTCTCTTGATATGATACTTGCCTCTTCCAGGATTTCCTTTTCCTTGCCATCACAAGCAGTTTTAGTTTAGCGTTTTCCCTGCAGATTTGTCTCCTCCCCATCAGCAGTAGTATTGAATTCCCTCTGCAGTAGGAGGAACAGGAGTGGGCAGATGCTAATTCTGTCCTGAGGTAGCATCACCTGTAAAGAGAAGGAAACCTACATCTGAATTCAGCCCAGACTTTTCTTTCTTCTGTGGTACTGCTAGTGTCAGGGAAAGGAGCTGACTTCAGAAGACTGAAATTCCAGTCTGAAACATCAATTAAGGTCAAAGAGGAACACAGCACTAGTCCTTTTAAATGCTTACTGAGTTTAAATGTTAATATTGAGATTTGTGAGATACAGGGTTGGGAGATATATAGCCTCACAGGTTTTTTGATTCCATGCCCATTACTATTTAATTAGTTGTTTCTCTTATGAGAAGTTGAGTTCTGCTTTTGCTTTTTCTATCGTTTGATCACTACACTCCACAATCTTCTTATCCAGTCTCCTAATAAATATTACATAGCAACAGAAGATGGTGGCAAAAGTTGTGTTCTAGTGAGGTGTACTGAATATTGTAATATTGCTTGGCCATTCCTTAGTCAAGTCTTCATTGATTTTGTATATAGTATCTGGAATTTTGTGTACCTTTTCTTTCTTCTCCAATAGAGGAAGGGAACAGTGGATAAAAATCTCTCTGCCTTTTCAGATACGGCTGAAAAGGCGTTATTTGGGAACGCCACTTCTGGATAGAATTGTTCAGATGCATCCGTTTCCATGTACAAACCCAAACAGATGACTTCTTTTTTTCTTTCCTTTTTTTTTTTTTTAATTTAAATAAAGCTTGTCATCAAAGGGAAGGCTATATTTAGGTCAGAAAAATGTTTAGCTTCAGGCAATAAAACTATTCTTCAGCTTTTAATGGTTATTTTCTATTCTGTCAGACTTAGAAACACTTCACAAAGCCAAGCTCCTGAGGTTCCAGGATCAGACACTGGAAAGGGGTTCAGCACAGAGGTCCAAAAATAACACTTAAACATAGGTGCATAATGAAGAGAGGATTAAGATGATCATAGGTAGCAGCTGCACAAGGAAAAACTACATTTCACAGTAATTGTAGTGGCCTACTTGTGTCATCATAGGTTCAGTGCCATCCATGCTCTCTACTTCCTTCTGAGGCTCTGTTTATCAGTCTTTTGGCAATGACAGCAGATGCTCTTAGGAGCGTGATGTGTCCAGATTAAGAACAGAATGCTGAAAAATAGGAAAATACATAGTAAAATCACCAGGGGACTAGATAACTTGAATTTTACAAAAGGAACAAGCTTGTTCACTCTAGTAAAAAGAAGACTAAGAGGAATATTGAAAAATATTGATGATATAAATACCAGCAGGGGAAAAATACTGTTGAAGCTAAAAGTCGACTCTGGCCATGAATAAACTTAGACTGGAAATTAAAGGAAGCTTTCCAACCATGAGAACAATGAGACTCAGGAACAATCATCCTGTAGGTGTGGAAAGGGAAAAATCCTGAACTGAATTGAAGAGAATTTTGAAAAATTTCTAAACATGCCACTGTCGAGTACTGGAATCTTGCTTTAATTGCCTTATCTCCCAGCTAACTTTCACTTTGGACTACATTCTTAAAATTGAAGAGTTTTAGTGTTTTTGTATTTGGGAGCATTTTTTTCTAAAATGCTTGTTTACACACGTATGCATCGTCTCTTATAAAAGGTCTCCTGAGAAGCATTTTTTGTGAAGTCTGTCTATGCAAGCATCCATTTAACCCTTTTCGTGTCCTCTTGAACTATTTTCACAGGTGTTTTTCTTTTAGTTTTTCTTATGGAAAAGTTGGATTTTCTTTGTTCTACCAGTTGGGATTATATCAGGGCCTGTACAAAACTAGACAACTTTTTCTAAAAATCAAAAAATTATTTGCTCATTCATAGGATCTTACCCATCTGACACAAGTAAACTGAGTTCCTTTAACATGGAAACAGTGAACTAAGCATGCACACCTCTATGAAGCAGTCATTCTCAGTAACAGCAGTTTTCAGAAGTTTTATTCTTACCCCTTTACTTGCTTATTGGTGTAATTGGGATGAGCATTGTTTCAGTTTATCCATATACGCCACTAAGACGTTATATTCCAGAAAATGAGTACTTCACTTTTAGACTGTACATCTAACAGTCTCCAGTCTGTAACTCCAGTGCATGACCCTATTTTGTCTGCCATTGTCACTGGGTTGCCCTTAATCATATTGATATATTCAAAGACTTCCCATATGTAAGGGACTAAAATGCTGCATCATATTTTGCTACTATGTTTTCCCTTCCATTTACATTTCTTAAAATGCCTTGGAATTTTGTCACAGTGCCTTCATACATATGCATGATGTGCCACTGCAGAAGACAGAACTCTTTATTTTTAGAACTTATGAAAAATGCATCCAAACTTCAAAGATGAATTAGAAATCAAGATTTCTGATTAGATATTTTGGGATTCAAATCATATGAGACCACTAGAATGTAGACAATAAAAAGGGTACTATTAATGTGTCTTTAGAGAGAGAAAATATCTTCCATAAATCCCAAGCAGTCTTCTAAGCATTTGGGAGACAGGAAATACAAAACATAAGCTAAAATGACAATTTTGCTGCCTACAGTTTGTATCTTGTGATAGTTTTAATATGATTGCATATTCTTTCTTTCCTGCTACATCACTAAAAATGTGAAGTATCCTGGAATATACTGTGTTCTATGTGTCAGAATTCACTGAGACACAAACAGAAACAAAACATGATGATGTGTCATGATTTAGAATTTATGTAAGCGTTATAAATAAATTTTAGGATTGAACTGCGTTATTTATGCTTTTATAATAAATGTGACATTATTATCTTCTCTTTGCCTGTTAGCAAGTGAAAATCCACTAGCAGTTTTTTTAAAGTTGGAAATTTTTTTATTAACTTTCAACTCTCACTGATGTACAAATTTAAAGTCTTTACAAATGACTGACTTTAATTAGGAATTTAAAATGTAAATCAAATACCACAGCCCATTGCTAATCTCTGCTTACTAAATTTTACAGTACTTTATATTACAAATATTTTGTCTGACTTCTCAAATAAAAAAAAAATAACAGATTCTGTTGTGAAACCTATTATACTTACATGTTTATTGAACTGAAATAACTGAATAAAAACCTAGAGCTAGTTGTATAAAAAAAAAATTACTAAATAGAAATTATTCTAAATTTTGAAACATAAGCATCTTGGGATGAAAAATGGAAATCTAAGAACTGCATACCCAAAGTTAGCATTTGCCAACAAACATTAACACTTTTCATTTTATTCTTGGTACCTATAAGTCTTATATTTTATTTTCCTGTTTTCGAGGGAAAAATCCAAGGTTGTTAAATATCTGAAGGCTGCAAGATTTTTGAACTATATCCAATGCCTACAGCTTGTGGAATTCATAAGCTTCACCATTTGAAAGTGATTCACCCATTTGCTCATCAATGACTATATAGTATGCCAGAGAAAGAAAGTCTCTCTTCTGTGCTTAGTAATTTAACCCACCAAAAAACCCCTGCTGTGCAGTTTACAAGCTGTGCAGCAGAACAAAGATGTCAAAACAGAATCTGCTTCCTTTTTTTACCAAAAAAAAAAAAAAAAAGCCCAGCATTTTCTTGGTTCAAAACTGTCCTTCTCTGTATTGGGCCAGTTCATTAACAGATAATGTTTGCCTGCCCAGAGCTCTGCTCTTTTACAAAATCTGCATATTAACTGTAGTATTTACTTAGTTCTCATTCACGGTTCTCATAGCTCCTCCAAAGACAAGGAAGGTGATTACTGCAAACAAGAAGAATCCCATTTTTAACTACTTATAGTTTATTCTCTTTAAACAGAAAAACATTTCAATCAGATCTACCTGAAACATAACAAATTTGCTACAATCTGCACCTTGAGATCTGCTCAGAAGGTATCGTCTTCAGGCATTCAAAACAAGAACTGTGATTATTATTGAGTAGCTAATGTGAAGAGATTATTTTCAGACATTAACTCTTCCTTTTTCCTCTGCTTTATATCACTGCCTTACTCAATAAAAAATAAAGCAAAAGAAACAAACAAAAAATTCAAGACCTGGCTATAAAAGTGATAAGTTTCATTTAAAGGAAGGGATGATAGACGGGAACATACAAAAAAACCTCATGTGTTTAGCCTTGAATATACCAGGCACTAGGTGGTGACCATTAAAATGACTTCAAGGCAATATGCAATACATTACCATAGGATAGAAGAAGCAGTTATTTTAATATCAGAAGTGAATTGGGTTGTTTAACTTCTCGGCTTCTTGAACATTATAGCCATTTTAGTATAATTAAAAGAAGATGAGTTGGATGACTATTACTTTCCCATGTTTACAGGGCCGAACCATGATTCATACTTTGTGTACAAAGTATGCAACAGAAATGTAGTAGATCTTGGAATATGGCCAAGTGCTGTTCTGTGTTTATGAGTATGCAGAAATATACAGATTTACTATACTAGATTAAACCTATATTCCATCTAGTTTAATGTACGCTAGTACTCATGCAATATAGTGTGTGATGTCTGGCAGTATTTAGAATCAGATGCTTCAAACAGGCACGCAAGAAATTCTAAACCAGCTGGTTGTGGAGCAATCTGTCAAATGGGAAGTGACTCCTAACCCTTGACTGCTGACAGTGCAGAAAGGAATGAGACTTGGGAGCTTTCCAAGGGTAGTGAAGGTAGTTTCAGAAAAGAGTGTGGGAAAAGACTGTTCAGGTCACTTTGCAATTCACTTCCCAAAGGGTACATCTGATATCTCTCTGTTTACATAGAGTACTTTTTTTTTCCTCTCTCTCCTGTCTCAGGACAGTGAGGTTCTTGGTTGTGTATGCCTAGAACATAATCAAAGAAACTTGTTAAAATATAAACCGAAAAGACTTTACAGAGATTTATATTAGCAAAAGTTAAAAATTGTTCCTGATAGGTTCCAAGATACAATTTCCTTTTACTTTTTCAGTACTGGTTTCCATTGCAAGTGGAAGTGGTGGGCTCAAACTATAGCCAAATAAATTTTGTACAGCATCATTAGGCTGCAATATACAATGAGATGAACTGGTTTGCTAAAAAACAGTCCTTTCTTTTCTATGCTATTATAATGAATTTTCTTACATAGATCTTTTAACAGTTCTGTGTTCTAATGAGACAGTCATTTTAAATTAAAATTTCCGTCACTCCTAAACAGTTGCAACTTATGAAAAAGACCTGAAAAGAATTGGTTATTATTCACTCCAGCTATGCTAAATGAAGAGATTTATTTGCTTCTGCTGCAGTTTTGAACAATTGAAGTATACTCTGCAAACTGAACCACTTCCATAGCCTGTTAGATAGTATCAGGATCTATAAATGCATTCTATCAAATATTTATTTTGCACTGTAATTAGCATTCTTTGTTGCTGTTTTTTGTTTTTGTTTTTGTTTTTTTTCTTCTGGTTCTAAAAGGACAGTCTCTGCATCAAGGACTGTCTGAAGTCTTGTCAGCTGTATCTGTGCTGACCCGTTCCCGGTTGTGTAGGTAGAATGAGGTGCTGATGAGGAGGCAGGTTTGCTGGTGAAGTTACACTGTCTTCTGATATTAGGTAATGCAGGCTGACGAGCTGTTTCTATTAGAGTAACAGCATACCTTAGAAGTTTTGCTGACATGTCTGCACTGCAGAGATCTGCTGGCATCCTATGGCCTCAGCTAGGTAAGCAAAACCAAATAAAGAGAACAGAGGAAGGAAAGCACAGTTGATGAGAGGAAAGGGAGTTAAAAGTAAGAAAGGGTTTTGCTGCGTGGAAAGAGAATTATGAAGGTGTAGGAGGAGATTTTTCAAAGGTGGGAATGATAGCTAAGTGTCTAAATTTCCCTTTCTGCTTCTGAAAATCTCTTACTAATATTACACAGAGACTGAGGTAAGATAGAGGGGAAGATTAGAGAACAGGAGAGAGAATGTCTGGGGGAGGGATCTAAAGAGATAAGCTGAAGATGGTTAATGAAGCAGAGAAATGTGATTCTTGGAGTAGCATGACTCACACGCCAGGATAAGGCAAAGGGGAGCAAAATAACAGCCATGAGCAAAGGGAAGAGGTGCGGCTAAAAAGACCAAACAAGTAGAAGAAGAAATTTAGCTTATAAAAAAAGGTAAAAATGGTTTATTATAAAAGAAATAGACATTAATGCAGGCTGTGCTGGGATATCAGGTGATGATAAAGAGAGTGTCTGTGTCTAACCTCGCCTGCACGTAGATGCTGCTGCAGTGCACCTCAGGGTGCTAGTTCTGATTATCCAAACTGAAGGCCTGAAAGCCTGTCACAGCTTCCACTGAGGCTACATGTGTAGATTTAGGCAGCCCTAAATGCCTTTTAGGCTAGTATGTATATTTTCACACCATTCACAATCTTTATTATTGAACAGATTCTCATTTCACAGCAGGTATCACTTGCCCATTTTGTCACTGGATGGCTTGTCATAATAAGTGTGAGTGGGCTTCAACAGAAAGCAGATTTCACCCACAGTACCACCTTTGCCTGTCAGAAAGAATTAAATGGGCAAATAAATGTACCTAACTGTCATGTTTTTAACCACTGCTCTAAATGCTAAGCAATAGTCTCCTTTGGTAAGCAGAATACAGGTACCTAAGACCCCAGTATCCATTATTTCCCTGTTGTCTCACAGCTGGTTTTGTATCAAGGCAAAGTGTGTGCTGTTCTCTTCCTGTGTAGACTAGGTTGAGAAACTGCTGCTGCTAATACTAAACTGAGCTGGAAAGTGGGTGTACTGTAAATCTAAAAGTTCTTGATTCAAGCATTGCAAATAACCCAGTGAAATAGGTAATGGTCATAGAGGTGCTTGATACGCTAGATGAAAAGCAGAAAAATAAATGCCTCGGGTGTCATTTGAGAGTTTGAGATGATAACTTTAGTATTCTTGTGCACAGGTGTGGGTACATCACTTCCCTGAGTTTTGTTCCTTAAACTGTCCCCTGCTAAATTCATGGGACTGGAATGTAGGATAAACAAATAGCCAGTGAAGAAATCACTGAGCTTTGGTCAGGAATCTGCAAACAAATGTTTGAGTGAGAGAGGTAAAGAATACTTGTTGAGTCCAAACTAGTGTTTGGATTCAACTAACCAAAAAAGCATCTTTACACTAGACAGTTTTGACTAAAGTTTCACCTTGCATGCAGGCAAAGGCATCCCAGTTCTTCAGCCCTCCTGATCCTTTCCTTCTCTTCTACTAAAGTTACAGCCTCCCACTTGTTCCCATTAGCAGTATCCAGTGTCTGCCAGTGCCTGGCTGATATTGCAGTTCTTTGCTCTTCAGCATTTCTTCTACAAGAGCCGACAATGTTTCAGAGAGATGACACTCTCCCTCTTTGGAGACAGCCAGCTGCCACTATATTTTCTTCTCTCCCAATGGTGTATTTTGGCAGTAGATTTTCCTTGCAGCTGTGACTACAATTTGCATTTGGAGAGTATTGCTTTATAAAGAGAAGGTATTTAACAGAGCTAACAATTATTGTTTTCAAATGGTTGGAAAGGTGATGAAAATTCCAGTCAGTGCTTGTGCTTGTGGATTAAAAACAAGTATCACTCATTGCCATAAATGCTGCTTTTGTCTCCTGCTGAGACAGCTGATAAAGGCTGAAACACAAATGCCACATTAGCCCAGGTTTCAAAAGGAAGGGACTTTCAGTGGGGCTTTACTTCTCAACCTGGCCCCAGGTTTGTTAAACTCTTCAAGGAAAGCCGGACTGCATGCGTGTAGGACAAGGACACTGCATTTGTTCCTAACTTCCAAGGAGATACCTTGGCTTTTGGTTCTTTAGGTAGTCTGTGAACTTAAAACTGATGGTTTTATAAAGGGCAGGAGAAAAAAAAAAAGTGCTATTTAGTGTATGCAAACCATTTGCAGGAATAGTCTCTTTTGTCTTGGTTGAAACAATTTTAATTATGCTGTTTATTTTTTGGCAGCAAAAATATGAACAGGATGAAGTTCAAATCTATGTTGTTTCAAGCTTTTATCTCTTTTTTTTAATAGCAATTAATAATAATCAAACAGGAATTACAAGCTTATAATTAAAGGTTTAGTAGTTGCTGCTTGGTTTAAAATGCCCTTGAAGTGGTATTCTTCTTTTCATCTTTCTTTTCTCTTTGCTCATGCCCATTCCAGCAGGGCTAATTCCCTTTTTTTTCTCCAAGGACTTTGTTGAAGTGAAGGCAAAACTTTGACTTACGTCTCTTCATATTTATGATAATCTTTTTCTTGTCACATTCTTAACATTTTACTGCATCCCCTTTTATTCCATTGTGAATGTCCCTTGTGCTCCAATTTTCTGCTTTTACCTCACAGTACGTAAACTATCCATTCTATTCTGCTCTGTTTTCATCAAGAACCAGCCCTTAGCAACTAGATAACACCCTGATACTGAAGATTTCTTCCTTTCACACACTATAATACATCTTTTCTCTTCCAAAGAGATTTCTGGAGCTCATCAAACGCCCGTGCTACAGAACAATGCATCCGTGTGCTTTCGCTCAAATATCTTTTCTCTTCACAGAACTTTGAAATGCTAACTTATTTATTACTCTATTCTAAAGAGAAAGCAAACAGTTTCATCAATCATGTTGAATCCTTTTGTGCTCCCTTTTTGTAATGTAGGTATAATCACTGGAAAGCTCTCGGCTGCAAGTTTTTGAGAGAAAGCCAAGGATTTCTTTAACAATTAGTGCTACGTTCATTATAGAGGACCAAGCTCTTGCAAATGGTGCTGGCATTATCGTTTTATTCCAGTCCTGTATTTACGTGCTTTCATGAAGACAAAATGCCCAAGCCACAAAGCAGACACACATGTACTGAAAGGATCTTAAAGGTCATGCAAGCCTCTCTAAATCCAGCTTCTGTTTTGGCTCACTTTGATTTACAGATTGCAGAGGGCAAAAAACAGCTACCAGAGGCTGAAAATGAAGTTAAAATTATGACTTGTCTGTCCCGGTCACTTCCTCCTCTTGAGCACGTGGAGCAGCAGGGAGCCTGAGCCTCTGCCTTGTGTCACCCGCCTTGCTGGCCAAGTTTACCAGCCAAGCAGTGGTAGCACACGACCTTGGAGGATGTATATCTGTAGTGCTGAAGCTCCCCAGCTGCAAGTCTGCTATGCCACACAGTGCTCAGCAGGCCACAGACCACATAATAGCAAAAATGGTGCTATTTTCAGCTGGAAGTTTGCTAAAGTTGCATAGTTGTACAGCAGCTATGGTGACCTAAAAAAGTGGGAACTGAGTGCGGAACTAATTGTCCTTATTCCGTGCTCTGTGACAACAGAAAATCTAGTTTTCCTATGCACATATGAAGAATAAGTTTTTTGTTTTCACTTTTAAATGGATAGTGGTTATAGGTTAGGTTTTGTGACCAATAGATGGTTATAATGCCATAGCTGCATATGGAGCTTAGCAATAAACAAAATAGGGGAGAAAAAAAGAAAACTGAACAAACAAAAAAGCATTATCACATTGAAGCATTCAATTAGACAACATGATCATCAAAGAAAATAAGATCTGAAGCAGAACAGGTTTTTAAATTGTATCAATAGGATGTCTATACACAGGAGAACTCTCAGTTTCTCTCTTTCATTTGCTCACTTAAAGCTGTTGTTTTTCGGCATGAATGTTAACTGTGTAGCACTTAGCGTACACGCAGCCCTTCTTCTTATGTCCCAGTTGGACAATTAGCTCAATCAGCTAAATCTACAGAAAACTAGAAGTACGTGACAGTGTGCACTAAGATGCTTAAGTGCTAGAGATCTAACTGCCGTACCTGCTGCACTGGGTTAAAAAACAACCCGAAACCATCCTTTAGCCAGTGAGGTGTTCAGGATGGTCCGGGTTTAATTACCAGTAAGTTAAGTAAAATTTGCTCAAGTTTCCATCCACAAACTTGAAAAACTGAATTATCTCACTTACAGGCTTTTGATGAACAACACTTTTCCACCGACGAGCACTGAGTCAATGCTTTAAAACAAAGAGCACTGTACTGGGCAGAAGAAAGAAGTGCTCAAAACAAAATTGGGCAAGCCAGCAATAGCAATAAATCAGCCATGCCTATTAAGTAGGATTTCTATCTCCCCAGGTTGTTTTGGCAATAGCGCTAACCTTAGTTGCCCTCCTGCAGCAGTAAGTGGCTAATGAGGCAGAATGGTCTATCAATCACTGCCTCAGTCAGGATGCTACTGCAGACTGGTGTCCAAATTTAGGGAAGATCCAACCCACAATCTAAAAGGACATGACGCTCTGGGACTTTACCTGCCATCCTAGATGAGGCACTCAGGAGGACTGCTTTCAGAATGCAGCCCAGGCATCTCAGTTGGCCTCAGTCCACCAAGTTTCTTTCAAAGCTGTGCTGAACGTCCAGATGGAAGTGGAGGATATTCATGACCTAGAAGGGTCATACCATCAGACAGAGACACCAGCCTGCTTTTGTCATTCTATTTATACAAGCAGAGAAAATCCAGGTTGTGGATTTGATTAGAGGATCCCTGATGCTGTGCATATAAATACCCCTACTCTCTACAACCTTGGGCTCTTTCATAGCTTCAGGCCAAGCTTCCCATATTATATCCGGAAGATGTGAGTACCTCAAAACGGGTTGCTCAGCAGCCAGCATGCTGAGTGAGAAGCTGTCTAATCAGCAGGGTATGCTAAACACAGGAGTGACTCATAAATCCTGCTCCTCCTCTGAACTGTCTCCAGCACCTTCTTCCGGGTGGTGTTTGTGTTCTCTCCTGAAGGCGGGCATGCAAGTCCTTTTTTTTTTCAAAAGCTGAACAGCAATGACTTTCAGCATTTCAGAGAAGCACAAATGGATGGAGGCAGCAACATTTTTGTATGCAAAACTCAGTGATGGGAGAACTCACTCAATGAAGGTAACCTTAGGCTAAGGTTTGTCATCTATCCAAAGGAATTCAGAACTACAACGTGAGCTTTCTGTGGTCTAGAAAAGAGAAGGGAACATAGCCACACTAAGCATTTCCATGTGCAAAAAACCTGAATGTTTTTTTTAAATTCATTAAAATCACTAAATTACCATTCAGTCCTTAACTTTATTTAAACAAAAAATATCCAAGTAATTTTCTTTTTTCCTTTTTTTTTGTTACTTCCTCATCTTTATTCTGAAGCTGTTTTCTCTAGTATTGCTCATGTGTGAGTTGGATACAACGTTCTTGTGAATGGCATCCTTCCTAAATTGCTCATCTACAGAAATAATTGCAGAACAATAAATAGTTGCACTAACAGCAGAAACTGCCTCAGCTTACAGTTATCAGTTGTTATAAAAAAAAATCAGATAAGTGTAAGGGTATCTTTTAAAAAGATGGCTTTCCAAAACACTGTAAGGAATGCATGATTATTAATCTCAAATTAGGATCTTTTTTTTTTCTTTTCAGTAGAAAAATGTTACAAGTTAGGAATTAATTGTCATGTAATTGATTGATAATTTTCCCTCCTGCTGTGTGCAGAAAGTTATTGGATGATGGCATATCGTTCTCAACAGGAGGAAAAAGTATAAGTCATTATGGGACAATTAGTTCCTATTTCTACTTTTTCTTCCATGTGCTGATAAGATTGCCTTCTAAGTGTAAGTACAGTAATTAACCATAAATATCATATAACTTTTTCCTTTTTATTTTTTTAACTTAAAATGCAAATCTAAATGCCGGTGCATCCTGTGCCCCTGTGCTCTTCTTTCCTGGACTAGTGACATTCATGAAACAGTAATTTTCACGTAGTTGCAATTAACAAAACCTGTCACAGTTAATCAGTTCATGGTTTTTCAGCATTGTTCCCGATTTCATTGCTGGTATGATATGGCTGAAGAAAACCCTGAAAAATCTTTTTATCAACATCACAATTTATGAAAATTGTGTATTTCCCCACAAACCCACCATCTGTTTACAAGAAAATTCTTGGCTTCAAACTGTCATTGTTTGCTTTATTGACAGTGAAATCATAATACTTGGTTACTCACCTTACAGCGAGCATAGTAGCATATCATTAATGCACACGTGGGAGGAATATATCTATTATATATACCTATACAGAGAGCTGTATTTGTGTATATGCAGGTACTTTACATGTATCTGACTGATATCTGTGTGAGGAACTACTGACATTTTTTAAAACTAGAATGCATCTACCTGAAAAATCTGAATCTTTTATTACACAGAATTTGCAAAGCTTGATCTATAGAATTCACTTACATGTGAGTATTTTTCCCATTAATAGACTTGGGTGATGCATCTTAAAGCTTTAATGCCAAATACCAACTGTTTACATTTTTCTAAATGCCAACCGTGTAATTTTATCATAGGATCTGAAAAACTAGCTGAGCTGATTCCTTCTTCCACCTACCACCAAGTAATGCAGCCCAAATTTCATGTGCTTGGCTACAGGGATATAATCCCATGCCTTCAACTCTAACTGTGTAATCTGCAGTGGGTTCTCAAAGACGTCATCAACTGGTCTTTGAGATTTAGTTTATAATTGCATTCATGATGCAGAGGAGGAATACAATCTTATTGTGTTCTCCTTGTTTTCTTAGCTTTTTGAAACTGCAGATGTAACAGGGAAAAAAAAAAAACCACTTGATGCTGAAGTTGGAATGTAGTACTCATTAAATTTAGCATATATGACTGAATATACATAGAGAGCAGATCTTTTTCAGAAAGAAGGTGCCATTTTTCTGTAATCACTTGTCAGAGTAGAATCACACTCTGAGGTGCCAATTATATCACAACCTAAGTCCAAGACTTAACTAATCTGTGAGATAGTACTAAATTGTACATCTCGGCTCCCCATATTTGGTTCTTTAGTGCATGTACCATCCTGCTTGTTCTTAATTGATTTCACTAACCCCACGGTTACTGAATGCAGAAATTGGGACACATAGGAAATCTCAGTAGAAGGAAAATTCAAAGTGGAAATAGTGAATTTAGAGCTATGACATACAGATACCAAGGCAAGAATAGTGTTTCTGCATATTATTTTACAATTTCTGTTGTGTTGTTCCTTATGAATTTTACCACGTCATAGTTAATCTGTATGGCACTTTACTAGTTTATAGGCTTTATTAGAGCCATTGATTGGACAGGAGCCAAGTATGTGAATATAAATTGATTTTATGCAATGTACGCAACAAGGAATTTATTGATATAAAGGGCTTCATTATTTGTAGGATTACTCTAAAATGATTTTGGAACAGCAAGAATTCTCTGTGGACTGTATTAGAATTTCATGCTTAAATGCAGTTGAACACTAATTTTTATATGAATTCTTCTGTCTTACACTGCTGTATAAAGGAAGACTGGAAGTAAATACCAGGGGAGTAGAAATGCAGATTACAGCTTCAGGAAACAAAATGCAAGTGTGAAAGATGACAGAATGATCATGTGGGAGGAAATTACTGTAGTTTCTTTCTTTCCCTTATTCCTATTCATAACTAGCTATTGTCAAGGACCTCAGTCATTTTGAAGCGACATTTGCAGTAGTAGAGGAAGACAGAGGGGTTAAATTATACATATTCTGACGCCTTGACAGACTTGGTAACCTCACTGCTGCTGAAACATGACAACAATGTCAACATCCAGGGAGACAGGGCTGTCTCCAGCCCCATTACCTCTAAAAATCAAAAGAAATACATTGCTAAGAAATATCGTGTACTTAGGGGAAAATAAGAGTTTCAGAACATGGTCAGGGAAACAGGCACTTATATAGTGAATCTATGCAAGGGACTCACCACTCTTGACTTGCTGCAATGCTCTTTGCTCTTGAATTTTGTGTTTCTCTGTAAGCTGCTGTGAGTCCTCTGGCTCCTGTGTGCTCTTCTGCATTGCAGGAGCAGAAGTTTGAAATGCAGTCAAAAAATTATGGCTTTTAGCTGGAAAGCAAATAGTGTTGGCTTCACTGTTCTCACTTAAATGAACAGCGGTCCTATCATCAGCTTAAGGAGTGAGTCTGAAAATATCATTTTGCATAGCTTGGTACTGCAAAGTATGCAGTGATTAGCTGCTCATAGTTTACATACCAGACTGAGGTTCTTTCTGAAAATGCGAGCCAGAGTTTCTCATGCACAAACTCTGCAGCGTAAGATATTTCACAGCCCTGTATGTTGAACAGTTCTGCAGATTTAATAATGGGTGACCAGGAAGCTGAAAGAGAGACATGTGGATTGTACAATGTACCAAGGGATTTGTCTTCTTCCGATGTTCACAGTGTCCATATCCCTCCCAAAATACTCAGATGATTTGGTCTCCACTGGGCAGATCATTTTCTATGACATTGTATAGTTAGCTTTGAAACATGCTTAGAGATGAAATCATACATTGTGATGATTTCAGTTAAATAAAATGTGTTTATTGTGACAAGAACCGTGAACTATTATATGCTTATTCTCCATATATTCAATGTTTATGAGGTATACAGTGAATTTTAAAAGCGAAATAAGAAAAGTACACAAAGATTTGGATATTATTTGGGTATAACTCAGATAATAGGTTTTGAGTGTGAATTTTAGACTGGAAATCTTACAATATTTCATTTTCTCATTACAATGAATTTGGATTTGGCCATCAAGTTAGTGTCTTTCAGTTGTTTTTCTAAAAGTATTTGTTCCTTTTTTAACCAAATTCCAGTGATTGATACTGAGCTCATGTCTAATATTGGGAAGATTTGTTACCTGGTCCAGGACTGTGCTGTAGATATCTCAGCCTCACTAGCAATTTTGACTTAACTGTCAAAAATGTTCTTGCCAAGCTCCTCTCATCTCTGCTACCTTGCAGTTGCAGCACTTCTGCCTGACTTGGTACGTGACTGCTGTCCTACCCCCACACTTGCTTAAGCTTGGGCTCAGGCATGTCCCCTTCCATGTATGTGGGATCCTTATCCCTACTGACTTGCCACCTCTTAGTCCTCTTCCTATCTGCAACACCGTGTTCCTCCATCCTGCTGCAGGACCAGTGATACTCCTTTGGGAGGAGACGCATTTCAAAAACTGAGCATTTAAGTTGCCATGGGCTTTTGGGGAGAGCTTTAGGTGCTTCATCTTGTTGTTTCAGTCAAGCCAATGAAACTATTGGTAGGGTATTAGTAACAAACATTGGAAGAGAGTTTTAAAGAGCTCATGTACAGCTGGCATCTAGAAAGCATCAACTGATTTCACATATGGCAGCAGGAGAAATGTCTCTCCTCCACTAAAAAAGGCGCAGGGGTGATTCTGGGGGGGGTTTGCTGGGACATTTCTTGTGCATCAGTAGCAGCACAGACAGAACACCTGAATTCCCCCACCAGGGTTCTTCATCAGGACTGTTTTTCCCCATGAAATGCTGGGCCTTTCATGTACCTTCTCTAAAGCAGTACTAAATCTGGATTGCATTGTAAGCCTTTGTGGTAGTGGTGAAAAGGCTGTTTTGATATGACATCTTTACCGTGACCTTCCATTCTTCTGAAAATGTAGTTACAGACCCATCTTTATAAAAAGCCAAGAAAGTCTCTTTTCTGAGCTTGTCTTTTAAAATAAATGTCCATTACTGAAGCTAGAAAGATAGCGTATTTCATTAACAGGAAGATGAATGAGTAAAAAATGTATTATTAACATCCCAGAATACTTAAATCTAGGAAGAGATCGCTTATTGTAGGTATCTTTAGACATTCTGGTAATGTTCCCATCTTCTTAATGATGAATTAATTTCATCAAAACCAGTCTAATGGAATCGGGTAAATTTTCAGTGTGGTGTCAAGACTTTCTCTGGTAACACTGCACACTTACCCTGGACATACCAGCACTGAAAGCTCATCGTTTCTTTCTCTTTCAGTGCACAGGAGCTGTAAAAAAAAAAAAAAAAAAGATAGAGGAACAGAACTGATGTTAACATGTGATTTTTTTTCTTTCTTGGATAAGTTTTGTGATTACATTCCAAGCTGGATGTAACTGCTGAAGTGAACAGGTTTGGGATGCTGAACAGCTAAGCTGTCCAGGAAATATCATTTGACAGTATAGATCCCAATTTGCAACTTTGCAGGCTTATTGAGGTGCAGTGACCAGCTCTACTACAGTGGCAATTACTTCTGAAAACTTGTACAATTACTTATATTTGCACTATATTTTTATGTTTTGGATAATTTTGTTGATTTTAATTTTTAGTATGGCAGAAAAAATAGAGAGGCAGCAAGGTAAAAGGACACTTTCCAGAAAATTTCTCATTGGGAGGGAATGATTTAGACAGCATGGGATGTCTGACCTATTTGCTCTCTCACTCCACCCAGTTTGTATTCAGCAAATAAGAGGAGTGAGAAAAATTAAATTGTTTGAAATGCACCATGACAGAGCAACGGCACCAATTTTATTTCCATGGGATTAAGTGTTCCCTAAGTCCTTCAGCAGCTGCTGTAGTATACCTGCTGTAATTTAACTCTACAGAAACTGTACAGATTTGCTTTTTGCCCTTTGGCCTTTGTTGGTTTTGGTGGGGGGTTTTTATTCTATCTAAAATCTCCCCATGATTTGCCAGAAGATGATAAACTACTCTGAGTTTTCTCTCATTCTGAATCCTGAAGATGCCCTTTCCATGTGAATAGCTGTGAACATCCTACATCTCTCTCATTCATTTTCTCACTATTCAGTTTATTTTTCAAAAAGAATGTAAAACAAACAAAAAGTTCCCATTGGATTAGTCCCACCAAGGTTGTCCACATCTTACTTTGGATATGTCTGAATGTTTGCAAAGAGAGTCTGTTGCCCCTGGAACACATGTTTTCAGGCCTTATTTCCAGAGGCTACTCCATGCTCTGTAATCATCCATATTTGAAGCATCCATCTTCTTCTTTACTCCTCTCTTAGTAGTAGTTGCTACTTATAGAGATGCATTCCAACAGGATTCTTACAAGATGCATTCCAACAGGACTGTCACCATGACGATCCATACCAGCACACTAGGCAGTTAGCTAATGCTTTGTACTTCTGCAAAGGTTCTTGTTAATCTCCACAGTGCATTTGTATAGTATTTATGATTCCTTTTCAGAGGAAATTCTGTAGAAATTCTGTAGAAGTTTGAGCTGATACTCATTTTAGTCAGGTTTTTTTGCACAGGGAACTGTAAGACTCTAAGTCTTACTGTTAAACCTCCTCAAGGTTTCAAATCATCATCTCTGGATTTTCAGTCAACTCTTGATGCTTCTGTATAAAGACAACAAGCATTACTTTGAAGCATTCCACGTATTTGTTCATTGTTTTGTTTTACATCTGTCTTACAATGATTGTATGGCACTACTATGGATGGGGAGTGGTATACCAAAGAATCAGCATGCTCAGGGAATACAGTCTGTGCTGTGTTTTATAAAAGTATGTAAATAAAATTGTACTTTTATTTATAACTGCAAATGTACTCTTATTTATGACTGCACGTTGCACATGCAACATGTAGTGTTTCATACCTAGCAGTATAATCATTGTATTGAACACTGAACTGGAAATCATAATGGAATTTTATGACATTTAATTTTTTTAACCTATAAGAAATTTTAGCTTGCAACTGCCATTTCATAAATGGCAGATAATCTCCTAGTATTTTGTAGATCTTTACCTTCAGTGGTGCACTGCAGCATTAAAGTACCACCCCTTTTTGTAAAAGGCCAATTGAAATCTAATTATTCAGTACTCTGCAGTCTCTAATAATTCCACAGTGTTTATACCATTATTGTGGAAAGCTGTAGCCTTACAATAATAGAAGCCATCAGATGTTATCTCAATAAGGGAGTGGGCACGTGCTCTTCAGAAAATTCTTCATTGCAGAAAGCTTTTTCTGAGACAAGATTCTTTTTCAGCCCCTTCGCACCTTTTTAAATTATCAGGACAGTGTCACTGGCGTGTAAAGGTCGAAGGCTCTGTAGCAAGTCTCAAAGCATTTGGGCATGCCTCATTACATGTAGTGACCTCTAACTGCACTAACACTCTACCGAGGATTGTTCCTGGAGTACAGAGGAATACTCTGGTTTTTTCCTTTTTTAAAATAAATGAAAATGTAACATTTCATATTTCTTCTCCTAATATATTTTCAAAATATAGCTCCAAAACTGGAAGCAAATAAATTACATTTGCTGTAATTTTTAATTAGCTGAAAGTCATCACTGCAAATTGTGTCTTCCATTACAAAATAAAATAGTCAACTGCCAGGCCTGAAATAATTAAGCAATATATTATAATTAAGCAATTTAATTTCGATTTAATTATGATATATCATACAACTTTTCTTCTGATTTAACTGACATTCATTGACAAAATGCTATAACATAAAACAGCACTAATGTTTATAGCTGATGGCTCTGCATGTTTTGCTTCATAGTATTTGGCATTCATCAGAGCATATGGAAAAAGTCTTATAGTCTGGAATAGCTGGCACGTTATTTCATACTACCCAAATTATGCACTACATGTTTTTCCCAATTGTTATTTTGAGAGGTAAGTGGGGAAATCTTCGCAGACATTGGGCTTGAGCCAAGGTTCATGGTTATTAACTGGAATCTTTCCATCGACTTCAGTCTGCTTTAAATAGTGAACTGATCCCATGTTGTTACAAGCAAATAGATAAGACTGCATGCTTATGAAATATTTATAGAGCTGTATCATATACATATTCTGTGTCAACATCAACATGATTTTATATTAGGCTAGGGACCGTGAGGGCAAAGGCAAAAGTGATGGGCAGGCAGGGAATACTGCCTCATTCAGTGCTGCATCAATAAAATTGCTGCGAAATAGTCACTAAATTGCTTCTTCAGAACAAGACCAACCCACTATTGACTTAAAGTCTTTTTCATTGGATGACAGTATTGGAGAATTGCTTTTATTCCAGACTACACTTGCATGCAAACCCCTGTTTAATGACATGAATGGTGAGGGTGATT